ATTTATTGTGTTAGCTGAAACACTGCAAGATCTAGAAAAGATAATAAAATATACAATAGTGCAGAAGAATAATAGTATTTCTTAATGATCTTTTATATTCAAGAACGTTTTAAAAAACGCGTTTTAAGAGTGTTTTAAAAAACTATATATATAGATGTGTGTTTGCATATATGTATTTGTATAAATCTATTTAACATACAAACATATATACAAAAGCTTGCTGCTGTAGATAGATAGATAGGCACGTACACAATATCTATCGATCTATCTATCTCTAGATAGATAGAGATACGTGTGTACACCGAGGCCCACACATGCGCACACACTTGCTTCCATAAAGGAACATGAAAATACAAGTATCAAATCTTAATTGTTTTAATAGTGTGTTCTAATAGCCATGGGGCTTCTTACATGTGTCTACACATTCATCTAGTGTCCTTATCACTGTGATGTACACATTAGCCTATTTCAGTGGTCACCAACTGGTCTATCCTGGTCGATTGGGGATCCCTTGACAGTTGATCTTAGATCAACCGTCAGAGGCTTCACATTCAGGACACGTGTGGGGAGTCACTGGGAGACAGTACCGGAACAGCAGAATGTATGAGTGACAGGACGCAGAGGGCTAGGCCGAGCCCCGCCCCCTACTGCCGGGGCTGGGCCGGGTGAGTGGGACAGTCCCTTTCTGCACCCTCTACTACTCACGCAAAGCCCAGCGAACAGCAATAGCCGCCTCGCTATGTGCCCCAGTGCCTCTGCTGGGGTGTGTGCAGCCGCAGGAGCCGCCGACGTGCCTGAACAAGGCACCTGGGCTCTGACCCTCCCCTGGCCTGGCCCAGCCAGGGCCCCACTCGCCCCTACCCTAGTTCCTCCCTCGCCGCAGGGGCCTCAATAATTAAGTGCGGAGTGTGTGTGTGTGTGTGTGTGTGTGGCGCGCGCGCACATGTGAGGGACAAGGCATCGGGGAGAGCTGGAAAAAGCAAAGGGGCAAATCGTTTGCATGTGTGTGTGTATATACACGTACATAGCTATATATGAATCCCCCCGCCTCGCTGTATTTCGGGGGGGACGGAAATGTTCCGGAGCAACACTTATTGCCCCAGGGACAGGACAGACGCGTGTCCTAGGTGCTCGGCCTGTCCCTCACAAAGCTGGGAAGCGGCGTGGGAGTATCCCCACCCCTACGGAGCAGCAGGGGAAGAGAGGGCTCGGCAGGGAGCAGGCGCGGTGCCTCCCCGCGCCGGC